GGCGTGGTGGCTCACACCTGTAATCCCAGCACTTTGGGAGGTTGAGGTGGGTGGATCACAAGGTCAGGAGATGGAGACCATTGTGGCCAACACGGTGAAACCCCGTCTCTACTAAAAAATACAAAAAATTAGCCGGGCGTGGTGGCGGCGCCTGTGGTCCCAGCTACTCAGGAGGCTGAGGCAGGAGAATGGCGTGAACCCGGCAGGTGGAGCTTGCAGTGAGCTGAGATCACGCCACCGCACTCCAGCCTGGGCGACAGAGTGAGACTCCGTCTCAAAAATAATAATAATAGCAATAATAATAATAATAATAATGGTATGTGGGCTGGGTGCAGTGGCTCACACCTGTAATCCCAGCATGATTTAGGAGGCCAAAGTGGGAGGATCACTTGAGCCTAGGAGTGTGAGACCAGCCCTGGCAACATAGCAACAGCCCACCTGTATAGGGGAAAAAAAAAAAGTCTTAAAATGGGTGTTGTCTCAGATTCGATGGAATACAACAGATGCCCAACCTGGGCTCTTTTCATTTCTCCATCACCAAAGGAATTCAGAGTAAAAATGCTGAAAGAGGCGCAGGGCCGCCACGTAGGCACTGGACGGAGGGACATCGCTCTCCACCTGCTGACTTTGGGCAGAAGCACCCTTCCGTCACGTGCAAAGCGGATGTGTTTCTGAAATGACGCTCTTTCCCAGATCCGTGCAGGTCCCAGGCTCTCCCCTGCTTGGCAGCCTCACGAGGGCGTACTCCTTTCCCTGCTGTCTTCAGGAGTTCGTGCCCGTTCTGCAGCTGAGCTGGACATGGGGCAAGGCCCCGGGCAAGTTGATTAGGGCAGAGGGCACAGGTCCCCGCTCGTTCGCCCATCCTGGTTGCCAGAGAGCAGGCTCCTCTGTTTCAAAAATGTTCCATCAACAGATTGCAGCAGCAGGAGGTCCCCACTCCTCAGGACTGCCTGACTTTTTCTTCTCCTGTCTCACTCTGTCGCCCAGGCTGGAGTGCAGTGGTGTGCTCACAGCTCACTGCAGCTTCCACCTCCCAGGCTGAAGTGATCTTCCCACTTCAGCTTCCCAAGTGGCTGGGACGTACAGGTGCACACCACCATGCCTGCCTAATTTTTTATAAAATGTTTTGTAGAGATGGGGTCTCGCTATATTGACCAGGCTGGTCTTGAACTCCTAGGCACAAGTGATCCTCCTGCCTTGGCCTCCCAAAGCTATGGGATTACGGGTGTGAGTGACTGCCCCTGGCCTCCCTGCCTTTCTTATACACATTATGTTTAAGGCTCTGGAAAGGCACCAAAAGGTCTGTTACTCCCAAGAGCAGGCTCTCATGCCAGCCTGAGCTCGGCGGTGCCCAGACGACCAGCACCCTGAACAGTAGGGTGGCAGAGCCCAGAGTGCACAGAGAGCATGGAACGCACAGTGACTTGTGGCCTCATTGTGGAACGCACAGTGACTCACGGCCTCCATCGTGGTACGAGAAAAGGACTGCGCCAGGGTCTCATGGGAAAGCAGGCTCCTGGCCAGTGCCCTCTAGGTGGGCGCTGCAGGGGGTGGCTGTGCAGCAGGGCGAGGCAGCACAAAGGCCACGGGCTGAGCACAGGGTACCACAGCAAAGACGGTGGGCTCATGTGCAGGCCACAGAGTCCCTGGCTGGTGAGGAAGCTGCCAATCCTGGTCATCTCTTGGAGCCGGGCGGGGGTCAGAATGTGGCTGGAGCACGATTCACAGCCCCCCAAGGTGGAAAGCACCAAGCAGGGGCCCATCAGGGCAAACAGATGAGCACAGTGTGGTCCGTCCATGTGATGGGCGCTACTCAGCAGTGAAAAGCCAGGAAGCACTGACACACTGCAGCTGGGATGGACCTTGAAGACGTGATGCAAGGTTAAAGAAGCCAGGCAGAAAAGGCCCATTTCTGTGAAATGTCTGGAACAGGCAAATCTACAGAGACAGAATGTGGATTTGTGTTTGCCTGTGGCTGGGGAGGCGGGGAGACAAAGTGACTGCTAATAGTCACAGGGTTTCCTTTTGGGGGTGAAAATGATGTGACTTTAAACACCGAGCGTGCTAAGACCCGTCGGACTGTACACCGTAAGGGAATTAATTACATAGTGCGGAATCTCATCTCATTGGAGCTACCGAATAGCACAGACCTGGCTCGGAGTTAGGGCTGCTGTTCTGGGTCAGGCCTGTCTGGGTTGGCCCTGCGTTGAAGTCCGAGCTCTCACCGCCATCTCACCCTCCCTGACCTCAGTGTTTTTTTGAGACAGAGTCCCTCTCTCTGTCATCCAGGCTGGAGTGCAATGGCACGATCTCGGCTCACTGCAATCTCCGCTTCCTGGGTTCAAACGATTCTTCTGCCTCAGCCTCCCAAGTAGCTGGGATTACAGGAGCCCGCCACCAGGCCCAGCTAATTTTTTTTTGTATTTTTAGTAGAGACAGGTTTTACCATGTTGGCCAGGCTGGTCTCAAACTCCTGACCTCAAATGATCCACCTGCCTTGGCCTCCCAAAGTGCTGGGATTACAGGTGTGAGCCACCATGCCCGGCCTCAGTTTCTTCATCTACAAATGGGGACACTAGCAGAGGGACAGCTTGATGCTGCAGTAAGGACCGACGGTGGCCGTGCCTGTCAGTGCTGCCACCCACGGAAATAAGAATACTGCCCACAATGAGAAGGGCAGCTGCAACCTGACACTGTGTGTTCCACGTACACGTGTGTCATACATCTGAGGGCCATGGTGCCTGGTAGGGTGTCACCAAGACATTACAACAATCGGCCGGGCGCAGTGGCTCACACCTGTAATCCCAGCACTTTGGGAGGCTGAGGCGGGCAATCACGAGGTCAGGAGATTGAAACCAGCCTGACCAAGAAGGTGAAACCCTGTCTCTACTAAAAATACAAAAATTACCTGGGCATGGTGGCGGGCGCCTGTAATCCCAGCTACTCAGGAGGCTGAGGCAGGAGAATCGCTTAAACCCAGGGGGTAGAGGTTGCAGTGAGCCGAGATCACGTCACTGCACTCCAGCCTTGGCCACAGAATGAGACTCCGTCTCAAAAAAAAAAAAAAAATCATCATAGCGTGGTGGGGGCATTCCCTCTGGTTTTTACTCTCTTCTTGGCATTTTCTGATATTATTTAAATGTTACTATAACCATATATCATTTTCTCAAAAAATAAAAAAACAGCTAAAAAATATACATTATTGGCCGGGCATGGTGGCTCATGCCTGTAATCCCAGCACTTTGGGTGCCCAAGGCAGGTGGATCACCTGAGGTCAAGAGTTCCAGACCAGCCTGGTAAATATCGTGAAACCCCGTCTGTACCAAAAATACAAAAATTATCTGGGCATGGTGGCGGGCGTCTCTAATTCCAGATACTTGGGAGGCTGAGGCAGGAGAATGGCGTGAACCCAGGAGGTGGAGGTTGCAGTGAGCCGAGATCGTGCCACTGCATTCCAGCCTGGGCGACAGAGCGAGACTCTGTCTCAAAAAATAAAAATAATAAAAATAAAAAAATAAATAAATACACATTATCTGAATTATGTAGAGTGGAAGGATATCAAAATATTAAAAGAGATTACCCCTATTTAGCAGAATTTTTCTGAAGATTAATCTCCTTTGGATTTTTTATATATATTTTTGCAACACATGAGAAAAGTTCCATAGAAAATTCACAGCACCAAGCGCGCCCCTCGCCTTCTTCCTGATCTCAGGGGAGCATACTACCTTTCACCATGGAGTCCAGTGTGCCCAGCACTACTGAACTGAACATTTCCACTCGGTTAAGATGGTACATATGACGTTAGTTACATGTGGCCTCTACTGGGGCACTTTCTGACTCAAGTCAGGCTGAGACAGGCCTCCCTGTCAGGCTGAGGCCCTGCTGGTGCTCAGCACCCCACATGGCTCTGCTCCCTGGGGGTCCCCCTGCCCCAGATAAGACAAACAGCTCAGGAGTACACCGGGAGGCAGCCTAGGATCCAGGAGCTTCTCACCCCGCGGGCTGGGGGAAGCAAGGCCATGGTGAAAGGCTCGGACCCTGATGCGTGCAAGGGGACAGACTGGGCTGTCCTACTGCCCACCCGCCATGCCTGAAGGCCTGGGGCTCAGAGCCACATGGCCAGTGCTCAGCTGCCAGCAGACGCTGCGCGCACAGGAGACTCCATGTGCTGGCAGGAAGCAGGTCCTGATGTTTGCGGCCACCACAGACCTAGGCACAGAAGGTCCGGTGTAGATCTGTGGTGCCGAGGTGAAGCCAGGGCTGTCTGCGGAGGAGCGGGCAGGTGGGCACCCTCCCAACCGCCTCCAGAGTCGATGGTCCTAGAGCGTGTGGTGAGGCTAACGGGCACGGAGCAGGCAAGCGGGCACCCTCCCAACCTCCTGGAAAGTCGACAGCCCTGAGGGTGTGTGCGTAAGACGGGGCGAGGCTAACAGACATGGGTTTCTTTCTGGGATGGCGGAACATTCTAAACTAAGATAGCGTGGGTGGCCGCACCACCTGTGAGTATGCTATAAACCAGCGAACCGTGCACTTGAAGGGGGTGAATTTGATGATACAGTCAACGCTTGATGCCCACGAGTTCCGCATCTGTGGGTTCAGCCAGCCTCATGGAAAATGCACAGGCGTGCAGTGGCCGTGTCTGCACGGATGTGTACACTTCTTTCCTGTCATTATTTCCTAAACAACACAGCATAACAGCAACTACTTACATAGCATCTACAACACAACCTAGAGCTGACTTAGAGTACACGGGAGAGCACAAACACTGCACCACGTCACAGCAGGGACTTGAGAAGCCTCAGATTTTGGTATCCTTGGGGCAGTCCAGAAACCAGTCCCCTGTGGAGATGGAGGGACAATCACCTATGACATATAACTCAATAAAGCTGGAAAAAAGGTTCCTAGCTCACAGCTGACAGAGGACTTTCCTTTCATTACCCACAAAACCAACAGCAGAGAGCCCCAGCGCTGTGCAGGCGCCGGGGGAGGCTTGCACTTACCTAGGAGGTCAGCCCCTTCGTCCACATCCCCGATGACCTCTGACCCTGCCGTCGACAGCTCGTGGTACAGGGAGTCAGTGTTGATGCCAAAAGCTTTGTTCACGATGCCCTGGGTTGGGCTGTTGGGATGTACAGGTTGGGACAGAGAGCAGAGTCAGTGGGTAGCCCGGAGTGGCTGTGTCTGCAGACTCTTCCAACACCTCCCACCGTGGCCACTGAATGCCCACACTGCCGTGCAGGCCAGGCGTGGACAGGAGGTGGTAGGCCACAGCCTTGATGGTTCTCCCAATGGTGGCAGAGGGAGCCTTCACCAAAGACACCGATAAATACTGAGCCCCCAGGACCCCAGAGCCTGGGCTGAGCCAGTACCTGCTTCCTGTGCGGTCCAGGCGGGTCTCTGGACACATGTCCAGCTCTGGAGTGGAGTCAATAATGTCCTGAACATCAGACCACTCGTCACTGCTGCCCATGCCTAGGGGAGAGCACAGGGGCACCTGGAGTCAGGAGAGGGGCTGCCCATGCCTAGGGCAGAGCACAGAGGCACCTGGGGTTAGGAGAGGGTCTGGCAGCCTCTGCCCTGCTCATGGCTCCCCTCGGAACCTGAGTCTGGTGGGCTGGAGCTGGACCACCCGCCAGGTGGGGATGATCAGCAAACGGCTCTTCCCGGGCTGGCTGGGCAGAGGTCGAACCCCAGCACAGTGGGCATCTGAGGCGGGGGCTGGAGGGGGGTGGGTTGCAGCAGCCTCTCTGCATGGCAGTGTCAGCAGTAAGCCCAGTCCCCAGAGATCCCACGTCCAAGCAAGTCAGTGGCTGGACCTCCTCTCAGCCCTCATTCCCCTCTTCTCTTTCCATTACTGGGCTGTGTGCCGTGGGGTGACGCAGGTTACTGGTTAGCGGGGCTGTGTGCCGTGGGGTGACGCAGGTTACTGGTTAGCGGGGCAGTGTGCTGTAGGGTGACGCAGGCTACTACCTTAGTTGTGTCTTCCCAAATCCATATGTTGATAGATACCCGCTAGCATGACTGTATTTAGAGGCCGGGCCTTTCAAGAGGTGATTATGGTAAAAATGAGGTCACGTGGTGGCTCTAATCCAATGGGGTTGTGTCCTTATAGGAATTGCAGATGAGGACACAGACACACCCAGGGCATGACACAGGGAGAAGGTGGTGTCTACAAGCCAAGGAGTGGCCGCAGGAGGAACCCACCCTGCAAGCACCTTGGTCTTGAAGCCCAGCCTCCGGGCGGTGGGGAACACGGCTCTGCTGCCTGCACTGGCCGCCTCGCGCGTTTGTTTCACGTCTACCCAAACCGAGCCCTGCGTCCTGCCCGAGGGAGCCCAGAGCCCCGCAGGCGGGCGCCCACCTATGCTGACGTTGCGCATCTCCTGGGTGACCTGGACTTCCATGTTGCGGCTGTCGCGCTTCTCCCGGGCACGCTTGCTGCTCTTGGAGCCCACGCCATAGTCCCCCAGGGGCTGCAGGCTCTCGTTGAGGGGTGTGACGGCGGCCGAGGGCACAGAGGATGTGGGCGTGTTGGACTTGGTGCCTGTGGTGCTGGGTGTGGCGGCCGCTGAGGACTGGCCTGACTCGGACATTTCATCCTGAGGACACTAGGGCCAAACACAGGGAGGAGGGAGAGCGAGTCAGCGTCGGCCCCTGGCCTGCGGCTCTGGCGTGGCTGCCTGAGGTCCCGCGCACCAATGCCTTGCACTTTGCTTCGCTCAACACCCTGCGGGCCGGAGCTCCTCTGCCACCCGCCAGGCTAACCCTTCTGGGCCTCACCACTCCTGAGTGGCTCTGCTCATCCGGCCGCTGCCTCTGGCTCCTCAGAAGCAGTGCCACCCTCCTGAAATGGCTCGGAACGGGGCTTTCCACTGACGCCCTCCCCAGGACAATTGCTTGTACTAGGCCAGCGCCTTGCCGGGGATACAGCAGCAGCCCCCTGTAGCTTGTGGCTGCTCAGAAACAAGTCTAGCCCTGGCAGTGCAGAGGGCTCTGACGGGACCCAAGAAGGGTTGGTCAGGCCGCCACCGATGCCCGGTCACCATCGCTGTGCTGAAGAGCTCGAGGCTAGGCCCACCTGTGCCTGCCCCATGTTCCTCCCCGGGCTCAGGTCAGGGCCAGGTGCTGGCCCTGCGGCTTGACTGGACCAGAGCTCAGCCCTGAACACCAGTGCAAGCACAAAGAAACTGCAATCCCCTTCTCACAGAACGGGACGCCACCAAGATATTCTGGGGGGTGGGGGCAGCCCAGATTATGAGAAAGTGCAACCAGCTGTCTACTTCGGGAAGCTCGTTAGGGAGCAGCACATTCTATGTGATGAATACGGAATGCGAATAAACATTCTTTCCGATGGTCTTTCCTAACAAAGATACTGAACCAGCCCAAGAAAAAGAGCCTCCAACGTTCTCCTCTTAGCTGACCTGATCACCCCCCATGCAGAGCTTGCCCGTGGCCCCTGGCCCTCCTTAAGGTACACGAAGAGGCAAGGCCTCAGAGGCACCCTGGTGGCTACTGTGTGTGTCCCAGGCAGCTGCTGGGGGGGAGGGTCCCGTGGTTTCTCAGAGGGCGCACCACGGGGGACTCTAATGCTGAGGATCTCACCCAGGGAGGGGCTGACCAGGGGGTGTCCAGCCCTCTCCACAGCCAACTTGTACCGGCCTTTAAGTGACCAGGGCAGACGGGACTTCCAGAAGTCATGGCCAGTTCTGACCTCTGCCTCTGCCCGGCCTCTCTGGTCACTGCCAGGCTCAGGGCACGGAGCCTCTCTGTACCAGACACAGCCACTCACTCAGAGGACAGATTTCTGCTTCACCTACCAGGCTCCTAAGTTTTTCTAGAAGGAATCTCAAAATGACACACCTTCCTCTATAGTAGCCATTCTCAATCGGGCTAACTGCCCCGAGGGGATGCTTGCAAAGTCCAGAGACATTTTTGTGGTCACACGTGAAGGGGGTGCTCCTGGCATTCGTAGGTGGAAGCCAGGGATGACGCTCCACACCCACTGTGTCCCAGCGGCCCAGGGCCATACACGTCCAGCTCCAAAAGGTGAGCAGTGCCGAGGGAGAGCCTCACGCGGGCGCGGCCCGCCTCCCGGAGCGGCTTTGTGGAAAGGTCTGAGATGCGCTGTGGCTCTGCCACTAGGCCCGGTGTGAGAAGAAAACCCTTGCTCTTCATGTCACCCCCCATGCTGGAGGAAGCGAGTGCCGCTCACACAAGAGTCTGCGCTGACGTTCTCAAAGAACCTGTCTACCCAATGCGTCACAGGCACCTGGTGTCCTACTGGACTCTGCCACCACCCGGCAGAGAGAAAATAGGGAACCCCATGTGGCCAGGCAGGGCGTAGCTGTGCACATCAGACAAACGCTTCTGGGCCGCCTTCCTCCACGGCCGGGTCCCCGGCCTGTTCCTGGCCCTCATGGTGGCTGTGGGGAATTCTGCAGTCTGACTGCGCCTCCCCTAGGTGCCCCTAGCTCTCTGTCACCCTATGGGGCCACCACTTACCCATGGGACACTCCCCCTGGCCACAACTTACCTAAAGGCAAACCTCTCAACCTCCTAAACATCAACGTGTAGCAGTGACCTCCAAATGCATTGAAAGAACCCAAACTCTTAGCGGTCATTCCTCACCATGAGTAGCCACAACTGTTTGGTTAAAACACTGAAAATACAGTACATAAAAACAAAAACAAAACAAAACAAAAAACAACAAAAAAATTAAGAAATTAGAAAACCTCAAAACCTAGAGCATAAAATAAAAAGAACTTAAATGTAATAATTTAAAATAAAGAAAAATCAAATAAAACACACCTATGAACGAAAACATAAAACACTACAATTTATGAAGAGAGAGACGATCTCAGACAATGCAGGAGGTGAAAGGAAAGACAACATGAGAAGAAGAGCGGGCCCAGAGCGGGCCTGAGGAGACAGCCCGGAGGCCAGAGAGCGTCAAGCAAGGGCTCCCCCCGGCGGAGGCTGCCGTGTCTTCAGAAGCCTATGGGCAGGTCCCAGCTCTGGCCCGGGGAGAGTGGGCCAGAGAGTGAGAGGAGGTGGGCCCAGGTGGCAGGGCTGGGCCCAGAAGGCCCAGGGAGCCTGCAGCCCCGCCGCCCTCTCTCCAGCCCTGAGCACGGGGAGGACAGGGGAGTGTGCTGGGGGACTGAGTGTGCTGGGGGACGAGCATCCCAGATGCCATGGGGGAGCTCGCTCCCAGAGCAGCACAACAGCAGGTGGGCTGACGGAGCAGGAGCCTGCAGCAGCCCCCACAGGCACGATGGACACTCAGGGGTGGAATGACAGTCGGCAAAGCGTGCTGCAGGAAGCTTCTGGAGAAGTCCCAGACCCCACATCCACCAGCCCAACCCAGCCCACAGGTCCAGGGGCTCTGTCTCTGTGGACATCCTCCGACAGCCCCTGTGGGAAATCCACCAGACCCGGGCACCCCCTCTTCCCCGGAAGGTGGCCGTCTTTACCTGGCACTGAGGCCAGTGAGCTCACAGGCCAAAACCGGTGGTAAGCGACCGGGGGCCTGAACGAGTGGCCTGGCTCTGGGCCCCTGCGCTCTGAGGTGCACTCACTGGCTGGCTTTGAGTACCTGCTGGGGCGGGGCTCTGCCTTCTCAAACCCAGGACCCAGGAAGTGTTACCAGCGACAGGCAGGGAGGGGCCCAGAGAGAAGGAACTTTCTCTTCACCTTTCTGCCAGTGGAGGGCAAACCCCGCACTCTAGACACTGGCGCTCCTCCGAGAGCAGAGGCGCGGCTCTCAGGGGCAGGCCGTGTCTGGCTGGAGCCCGGGTGAGGGTGAGGCTTTATGTGGGCGTGTGGTTTGAGAGAGGATCACTAAGCTCAATCCTGACAGGCCCTGGACACCCCTGGCTACAGAGTAGTCAATCCAAGGGCAGGGAGGTCTAGCCTGGACTAGCAAGTGCCGACGCGAGGCCGTGTGGAGCAGCCACAGCCGCACAGGGCCTGCTGGGCAGCCTGAGCCCCTGACACCCTGGCTGGGTTTCTCCATCCTGCCACACATGCGGGGAGAGGACAAGTGGCCCAGAGAGAGTGGCAAAGGGCTGCCTGCAGACGGGGCTCCCGCCCCAGAGAACGGCGAGCACCAGCAACAGGGAGGAGCCTCTCCCTCCACGGCACGGCTACAAAACCTGGTAGCTGGAGCTGGACTGCAGCTGGCCGAGGTCACTCAGGTGCCAGTGGTCCCCCGCAGGCACGAGCTTGCCCCCCATCTGTGCACGTACCGTGCCGTCAGCCAGGGGGAACACGTTCAGGGAGGTGGGGCGCTCCTTCCTGCTGAAATAGGGGGCGAGAGGAGAGGAAGCGATGGTTAGAGGGTGGCGGTGAAGAGAACCCAAGCCCTCCCAGGGCAAGCAGGCCTTGAGTGACAGGGCCGCTCCACACCAGCCCGCAGCCCAGCTCGAGCATCTACTCAGTTACGATCCTACGTGGGGTTTCCCCTCCCATGATGCTGCAGTTTCTCATTTTTATTAAGTTCAATTTTAAACGGACACAAGCCGGGTGTGCTGAGAAGCCCCACAGCAGGGCCGGCCGCGGGACTTGGCATCACAGTCAGCGCCGCGCGGCCACCATGAGCAATGCCTTTGCGGACCGTGGTCTCCTGCGCGCCCAGCCCTGCCTCCCTGTGGTGTTACCGCCGGTCCTGCCTCTGCCCCCGGCACCAGCAGAGGGATCCAGCCTTCCTGCCCCTGTGCCTTGCTCCTTGGCCCTCCTGCCATCCTCATTGCTCCTGTTCGTGAGGCTGCCTCACTGCAAAATATCTGAACACGACACGTGCAGAGTAAGGACTGACCCTGACACATCTGCCGGAGCCAGAGCCGGAGCCGGAGCCGGAGCCTGAGGCGTCTTCTCCCTCCCCACGCATCGCCTCTGCTGTCAGGGAGCCCCGAGTCTGAAGACGGACCCTGGGACTGCCTGGCCTTGGACAGCCTGGCAAGACGGTAGGAGCGTCGGGGAGCTGGAGGTGGCAGGACAGTGCTAGGTGCCCCCTGCTGTGGGCTCAGTCCCTAAGGATGACCTCCTGTGGGCCGTAAGCAAGAGCAGGGATGGAGCCCAAGGTCTCCCTTCACGTCCTCCTCCACGGGAGGCTTCCAGTCAACAGCCCAGAGGTCCCAGAGGCCAGGACGACTCCCCACCTCCTCAGGTCTTGGGGGGCAGGCCACGCAGTCCGACGCTGGAGCCCACACTGCTCAGGGCTATTCAGGACAAGAATTTAGAGTCTGCTGGCACCACAGACTCTGCTGCGTACATCTCAGTCCTGAGGCTGTGGGAGGGAAGGGAGCTTCCTCAGGGGTCCAAGGAACCCGCTCTGGCCATGCTTGGAGAATGCAGATGGCAACGGGGGAGCGCAGCGGGCGCTGCTGACTGGGAGCTCTGAAGAATGACCCTGGGAAGGGGTCTCTCCTTGTGGGGTGCATACAGCTCTGGGGACTGGCCGTCTGGTCTGTCATGTTCAGGACAACACCGTATCCTGTAGCACAAGGGTCCCAGGGCCAGCTGGGACCGGGCTGTGCCATCTTGGCCGCTGGTCCATGGCACTCAAGCTGCTCTGGCAATAGCCATGAGGCTGCCTGGCCACCGTGAAGGCAGCCAGCCACCAGGCCCTGGGAGCATGAACCCAGTGGGAGGCTGGGCCTCAACCGCCCTGTCTGCGCCAGGGGCCTCCTGGCCCCACTTCCACTGGGCTCCCAACGCTGGTGCGGGCAGTGCCTCTCCTGAGGCCCAGTCCTGACACCATCAGACACGTTTCAGTCCCTAGACCGAAACCGATGTGGTCCCAGCTGTCACCAGATGCTACAGGGGACAGCAGGGACAGAGGGACCTCTGGCCTCCCAGGAGGCCAAAGGAATGCACGTACGGCTCTCCCACCCACACAGCTCCACGACGGGCTGCAGCTCAGCCAGGCCACCGCCTCTGATGGAAATCACCCGGGATCAGGAGCTGCCTTCGCTCTTTCCTTTGCTCTTCCCCACTGGCCCCCAGGCCCTGGCCTCAGGCTCGTGAGCGTTTGCCGACTAACCCCATACCCCCGATTTGCCCTCGTGGCTGCCTCAGGGGATGCAGATGCTCCCTGGTTCAGAGACCACCGCCCCAGGGGTCCCGCCACCCTCGGGGATCACGCTGCCCTTGGGATCATGGGTGTGCTGCCGGCTCTGACACAGGCTGGTGAGTGAGGGAGCTGGGCGACGAGTCCAGGTCCAACTGATGCAGAGGGGGGCCTTCCTTGGCCCGTCGGCCCCCCGAGTCAGCACCAACCCCACCTGACCCACGCCCCTCCTTAGCAGGAGTCGGCGCTGTGCCTTCGTCTGTGACCAAGGCGGTACTTGTGGAGGGAGGGCAGAGCATAGACGGCCGGGAGAGCAGCGCTGCCCGACTGCGTGGCTGTGCAGGGGACCCAGCGGTTGTCACCTTCTCAGTGTCAGTCTCATGAACACGGCCAGGCGGCCCTTCTGACCTCTCACATCTGCCACAGGAAACACCTCACAGCAGACCAAGCAGCCATCTTGGGGTGATAACCGACGCCCTAATGTGCCTGCTGTTTGGCCCCCAGCACCACAGTAGACACACCTCATGGGTTTTACCTTTTCCTCCACGACTGGCGAGGACTGCAGGGCAGCGACAGACACGGCAGCACACGGCAGCGACAGCACAGAGGGCGAGACAAGGAGACAGGCGTTAGAGGGCGTGGCAGCAGCGTGCGCACACGCTACATGGATGGTCAGCACGTGGTGATGGCACAGAGGGCGAGACGAGACAGGTATTACAGGGTGTGGCAGCAGCGTGCACACACACTCACATGGACTGTCGCACACTTGCATGGATGGTCACACAGACGGTCAGCATGTGATGATAAGAAGACAGGCGTTAGAGGGCGTGGGCAGCAGCGTGTGCACACGCTCGCATGGATAGTCACACAGACGCTCAAACGGATGGTCACACGCTCACACGAATGCTCACACGGATGCTCACACGGATGGTCACACGGATGGTCACACGCTCACACAGTCACACGCTCACACAGATGGCCACACGCTCACACGGACGGTCACACGGATGGTCACACGGATGGTCACACGGATGGTCACACGGACGCTCACATGGATGCTCACACGGTCACATGCTCACACAGATGGTCACACGCTCACACGGACGGTCACACACACAGACGCTCACACGGATGGTCACGCTCACATGGACAGTCACACGGATGGTCGTACAGACACACAGACGGTTACACACTTACATACATGTTCACATGCTCACACAGTCACATGGATGCTCACTTGGACGTTCACATGGATGCTCACATGGATGGTCACATGCTCACATGGACGGTCACACAGACACATGCTCACACGGACGGTCACACGGACAGTCACACGGATGCTCACACTCACACAGATGGTCAGGCTCACATGGACGGTCACATGGACGGTCACACGGATGCTCACATGCTCACATGGATGCTCACACAGATAGTCAAACGCTCACACAGATGGTCACGTGGACGATCACACATATGGTGAGACGCTCACATAGATGCTCACATGGATGCTCACATGGATGGTCACGTGCTCACATAGACGGTCATACAGACGGTCACATGGACGCTCACATGGATGGTCACATGCTCACACGGACACTCACATGGATGGTCACATGAGTGGTCACATGCTCACACAGTCACATGCTTGGATACTCACATGCTCACATGGATGGTCACAGGGATGCTCACATGGATGGTCATACACTCACACGGATGCTCACATGGACGGTCACATGGTCACACGGATAGTCACACGCTCACACGGATGGTCACACGCTTACACGGACAGTCACATGCTCACATGGATGGTCATACAGATGCTCACACGGACGGTCACACAGATGGTCATACGCTTACATGGTCACACAGACGGTCATACGGACGGTCACACGCTCACTTGGACGCTCACACGGATGGTCACATGCTTGGATGGTCACACAGACGGTCACATGGACGCTCACACAAATGGTCACACGCTCACAAGGATGCTCACATGGACGCTCACATGGACACTCACACAGACGGTCACACAGATGCTCACATGGACGGTCACACACTCACATGGATGGTCATACGGTCACATGCTCACTCGGATGCTCACACGGATGCTCACATGGATGGTCACATGCTCACATGGATGCTCACATGGACGGTCACACAGACGGTCACACCCTCACACAGACGCTCACATGGACACTCCCACGCTCACATGGATGCTTCCACGGATACTCCCATGGATGCTCACACGGACGCTCACATGGATGCTCCCGCAGATGCTCACATGCTCACACGGACGCTCACACAGATGCTCACATGGACAGTCACATGCTCACACGGACACTCACATGGACGCTCACGCAGATGCTCACACACTCACATGGATGCTTACACAGACGCTCACACAGTCACATGCCCACACAGACGCTCACATGGACGGTCACATGGATGCTCAACACAGACGGTCACATGCTCACACAGACAGTCACACGGATGCTCACATGCTCACACGGATGCTCACACAGACGGTCAAATGCTTATACGGATGCTCACATGGTCACATGGACGCTCACACACTCACATAGATGCTCCCATGGATGCTGCCACAGATGCTTACATGCTCACACAGACACAAGGACGCTCACACGGACGCTCACACGGACGCTCACACGGAGGGTCACATGGACGCTCACACGGATGCTCATACGGACGGTCACATGGACGCTCAACACGGATGGTCACATGCTCACATGGATGCCCACATGCTCACATGGACGCTCACATGAATGCTCAACACGGACGGTCACACGCTCACACGGACGCTCACACGGACACTCACACGCTCACACGGACGCTCAAACGGACGCTCACACGGATGCTCACACAGACGCTCACACGCTCACAGAGATGCTCACACGGACGCTCACACGGATGCTCACACGGACACTCACATGCTCACACAGATGCTCACACGGATGCTCACACGGACGCTCACACGGATGCTCACACAGACGCTCACACGCTCACAGAGATGCTCACACGGACGCTCACACGGATGCTCACACGGACACTCACATGCTCACACAGATGCTCACACGGATGCTCACACGGACGCTCACACGGATGCTCACACGGACACTCACACGCTCACATGGATGCTCACACGGACGCTCACACGGACGCTCACACGGACTGCCAGCATGTGGTGATGCAAGGCATGCAGGGCCGCCGTGCCCCGATGAGACAGAAGTCACACACAGGCACCCACGAGGGACAGACACGTGACACACGAGCCCGCTTGGCTTTGACAAGAGGCCCTGAAACGGGGCTGTGTGGCAGTTCAGCCAGTGCCACGTGTCCCCAGTGCAGTGCGCTGTGCGAATGTCTCGAGACAGCGCCCGGCATATGTGTACACGTGGCATGCGGTGACGGCACACACGTGGCTACAGAGACACACACACTCCTGTCCGCAAGCCCTCTGCAGCAGTGGTCCGAGAACACTGCCTGGTGTTTGCACTTAACACCGAGTGTATTCCAGACACACATTCAGGAAGCCACGCCAGGCGTGAAGGAAAATGTCCGTCTGGGTCAGGAGGGATGGCGCTCAGCACTGAGGATGGACGGCGCCCTCATGGCGAGCCAAGGGGTTTTGGCTGAGCAGATGGGACTGACTCAAATATGTGTCCCCCAAGGGACCAAAGGTTGTGGCAGGTCAGAGTCCACACCAAAGGAGAGAGAGCAGGTGTCTAACAGGGACGGGCTCCTTCCAGCTCAACTGCCCAGCAACAGCACAGATCCCCAAGGCCTGTCCCAGCGCCCCTGACCCCACAAAGGCAAGCACTCGGGATAGGGGAGGGGCTGTGCCTTCCTCCTTCGGCCGGCTCATGCCTTCAGAGGTGGGAGGATACGGCTGCCGTCCACATCTGCAGGCAGGTGGCAGACAGCACGTGAGCCCCACCCTCTCCTTCCCGGCCAGTCTCAGCCTGGGGAGGCAGGGGACACACGAGCCCAGAGGTGGCTCTCGATGCTACCACTGCAACAGCAGGCATGACCGATTCCGTGCGCTGGTAACGCAGCTCAGCACCACTGCTGGCCAGGGTGGGAGGCAGGGGCAGCCCAGCCACAGCCCTGCTCCTCCTGTTGCCCCCCACGGAGCACGCTCCTCTCAGGGCCACAGCACGCTCAGAGACACCGGGCCGCCAGCCCCAGCCCCTTCTTCCCGCGGGGCCAACATCTTCTCACATGCTGTGGAGATCTGGCAAGGAGGTCCAGGGGCCAGAGCGATGCAGCCGCTCAGACCCCACTGCAGGTGCCTTCTGGCTGGATCCCGTCATGGCAACCAAAGCTTTGGCGTGAATCTGGATGAGAGACCCCTCCCTCTCCTGCAGAGATGCGGGGCTCCTGTTTCACAAATGGAGGCCTCCGGGGTCCATGGCTGGGGCAGGCCCCTACCACACAGTCACTGCTGCTGGCGTTGCCCCCACGGCCGGTGCCAAAAGTCCCGTGTGCCCAGAGGAAGTGAATGGCTGGGGCCAGGTCAGGCAGAAGGACTTGGTTGTGGCAGCACTGACAGGAGAGCGCCCCAGATCCATCCCGTACAAAATGATCGAGGGGCTTCTTCCAGAGGGCACAGTCTGGTTCCCCGAAGGGAGCGCAGCAGCCCTGACACAGCCTTCAGGAGCGGTGGTGGAGCTGCACAGGGGACCCCAGCAGTGGGGCCCTGACAAGGACGAGGTGCGCCACTGTGGGGCTTCCCCCTGAACTGTCAGCAGCAGGAGGAGCTGAGGGACGGGTGCAGTGCCCAGCCCAGATGCAGCTCAGGGCCCTGGGTCCCGTGGAGACACCTCGACAGCAGGTTCCCGGGCCACCTTCTGCCTCACACGAGAGAAACATGCAGGACAAAGTACTCCTTGCCCCGTAGCCGTGCGCCTCTTCCAGGTGGGCCTGGTCTGGCCCATGACGACGGCAGGGTCAGGCGGCTCTGGAGCTGGGGCAGCCTCTGCTCTTGGCTGAGCTCACGTGGCCGTGGGGCTCTCAGGACCTCTCGGGTGGTCTGTGGGCCTGGGGTGGGGACCACTGCGACTCGGAACCTGGGCTCTCGGCCGACGTCCTGAGTTCACACGTCACACCTCTGGGATCTGGGATGAACTGGGCACACTGTTGCTGGGCTCCTCTTGCCCGTGCGCCCTCCGGCACGGCCTCTGAGGTGCTCCTCTCTGAGGCTGCGCTGGCAGGGAGGCAGCTGAAGCTTCTGGAATGCTGCAGCTCCTGGGGGATGACCAAACTGCCCGCCTCTGCCCCCAGCTCCCCACAAAAACAACACGAAGATCCTGGGTCCAGGTTAGATTTTAATTCCAGTTAGCTGGGAATCCTCTTCCAACCACGGAGAGCCAGAGGTGAGGATGTCCCAGCATGCGTGCCATGAGGCGGGAGCTGTGAATGAGAATCTCCCACTCTGGGATCTCATGGAAACACCTGCAAGGCTTTCACAGCTTGCCAAACTGGCAGCCGCACGCCCCGGCGTGGTTCTCACGGTGCTCCGGGTGGGCGGATGGCCGGCGCCGCCCATTCTCAGGGCGAGTGCTTATCACGAGACAACTGCAGGTCCCTCCTCCATCTGAGGGCAGCGAGATTGCCTGAGGACCCGCCGCTGCAGGCTTCACGGCACCCCCCTGGCCAGCTGGGCCTGCGCACACACCATGCGTTTGCTCTCACGTCCAGAGACTCGGACGCAGTCTTACAGCTTCTCCTGCATCATCCAGAACGTGACCCATGAAGCCCAGAGCTGGATGTCCTGACCCTTCTCGTTTGCAGGTGTAACCCCCAGAACAGGCAGGCATGAAGCAGCTTTCGCGGCTGGCCAGGCCTTGATGGGGTGTGAGGGAGGCTTTTGCCATCGCAGCCCTGGCTGTGGGAGGCTCAGGGGCCGAAACAGACGTCCCCGCCTCCAGCTGCCCCAGCTCTGTGGCCTGCGGGCTTCAGACTTCATGCCCCTGCTCCCCGCTGCTAGACTCAGAACGACAGCGACAACCTCCCCAGCCCAGGTCGCGTCTCTGGTCTCCCGTGGCCAGTCCCCTGGAGCTGGCAATACCCTGGCAAGATCTTTGATGCTCTGCTCCCTGGGGCCTGCAGCCCGGCTTTTTCCTGACTCAAAGGGCACAGAAAATGGAGAGGAACCCAATCTGGGCAGGCTCCCCCCGCTCTCTGAGGAAAAGCAGCACCGAGCCCTGGAAAGCCACCGATATCCTCACCCTGTGGAAGGAATGAGACTCAGTACAGGGCTGGCCAAGGCTCCCGGCTCATCCACACAGTCAGTTATTTGAGGCAGGATGTTCTAGAAAGTCCCGCAAACATAACCATTGCCCCAAGGGTACACATGCAGGTACACGTATAAGATTGTGACCTCAAGTCCTCAAAGCAATGCATCCCAGTCAGTTTTATTTCCTTTATTTTACAAAAGCGAAAACGAGGTTGGAAATATAGGGTGACTGACCACCCCACTAACTGGTGTCACAGCTGGGCTTGGAGCCCCCTGGAACTGGCCCCAGCACTGGCCTCATGCATGACGCGTGACACTGTCTGGCCCTCCTGCCTCCTCCCCAGGCATCCGGACAGGAGCTGAACAGGAGGCAGAACATCGCTTTGTCCCACCTCTGTGGGGAGCCAGCGCAGGGACTCCCATTTCTCCACCGTGTGCCTGTCTGCAAAGGACTGTGAAGTGCCTGAGCACTGATTTCCTTTCTTTCTTTTTTGAGATCGGGTCTCTCTAGCACCCAGGCTGGAGCACAGTGGTGTGATCTTGGCTTGCTGCTACCTCCGCGTCCTGGGTTAAGGTTGATTCTCCTGTGTCAGCCTCCAGAGTAGCTGGGACTACAGACATGCACCACCACACCCGGCTAATTTTTGTATTTTTAGTAGGAACGGGGTTTCACCATGTTGGCCAGGCTGGTCTCAAACTCCTGACCTCAAGTGATCTGCCTGCCTCAACCTTCCAAACTGTTGGGATTACAGGTGTGAGCCACTGCACCCACCCTGAATTTTTTTTTTTTTGAGACAGAGTCTCACTCTGCTGCCCAGGCTGGAGTGCAGTGGCACGATCTTGGCTCACTGCAACCTCTGCCTCCCAGGTTCAAGTGGTTCTCCTGCCTCAGTCTCCAGAGTAGCTGGGACTACAGGCGCCCGCCACCACTCCTAGCTAGTTTTTTGTATTTTTAGTAGTGACGGGGTTTCACTGTGTTAGCCAGGATGGTCTCGATCTCCTGATCTCATGATCTGCCCGCCTTGGCCTACCAAAGTGCTGGAATGACAGGTGTGAGCCACTGTGCCCAGTCTATTTTTGTATTTTTAATAGAGACAGGGTTTCACCACATCGGTCAGGCTAGTCTCGAGCTCCTGAACTCAAGTGATCCACCCACCTCGGCCTCCCAAAGTGCTGGAATTACAGGCATGAGCCGCCATGCCAGCCTCTTTTTTTGTTGTTTATTCTTTGACTTCACATGAGCAGATGATTTTCTTATTTTATTTTGTAGAGACAGGGGCTCACTCTGCTGCCCAGGCGGGAGTGTAGAGGCGCGACTATAGATCACTGCAGCCTCCAGCCCCTGGGCTCAAGCTATCCTCCTCTTTCGGCCTCCTGAGTAGCTGCGACTACAGGCAGTTATTTGAGGCAGTATGTCCTAGAAGTGCCACCCCATGCTTAGTTAATTTTTAAACATTTTTTGTTTTTTTGTAAAGACAAGATCTTGCTGGTTGCCCAAGCTGAGCTCGAACTCCTGGGCTCAAGTAATCCTCCCGCCTTGGCCTCCCAAAGTTCTAGGATTACAGGCATAAGTCACTGTGCCCAGCTGAGGTCACAGATACATTTTAGTGAGTAGATAAATTTGCAAACACAGAATCTGTGGATAGTAAGGGTTAAATGTGTGCAAGCTTCCCGGGGCCTCCCTGACTGAACTGTGGACCAACCCAGAAGGGACACAGGGGCTCCACACACGCCCATCGCCCAAGGCAGCCCCCCCACATCCCTGCTCAGCCACACTCCAACCAGCTCCCTCCTCCTGGGTCTCCAGAGCGCTCCCTGTCGTCCTGAGCCCAGAGCGCGGGCCATAACAAGCACCATGACCCCGGCCCCTGCCTGCCCTGCGTACCTCCGCCCCCCGCGCCCCGCATACCTCCGCCCCGGCAGGCTGCTCTCGGTCTGGCTGTTTCCTCCAACCTGCTGCATCTTGGACCTCTCGATGTGCTCCACGTAGGTCTGTATCATCTGCGAGGAGGGAAATGTTTGCATTAGCTCTGCCATTGGGGGGCTCTCTCCCTCCCCTCTCTAACCTGTGAGGCTTTTCTGGCTGCCCTGTGGGGGCAGAAATCAAGACAGCGTCCTGGAGGGGAATCTAACCAGCCTGAGGCTGACAGCCTTCAAGCCTGGCAGCAAATGCTAGAAAAGGGACCCGCTAGGGAAGAAAACCACGGTCCACAAGAGTCGCAGGCGTCAGGCCGCGGTCCTCTCTCGAACCCTCACCTCTGCGCCTGCCTCTGGGCACCCACCTCTGTGTGCCGCTGGTGTAGGGCATTATACTCCTTCTTCATCTCCGACTCCCGCTCCTCCAACCGGGAAACTGGAAAACACAATCACTGTCTGAGCCGCACAAGCCGCTTCTCGATGGCCCTGAACTCTGGGTTGTAACCGTGGAGGGAGAGGGTTCCAGGACAAGGCTGGGGCCTGGGGCAACCAGCAGCAGCCCCGTAAGTACAAGGCTGTCTGGGGGGCTGCTGTGTGTGCGCTGTGCCATGGGAGAACACTTGGCTCTGTTGGGAGTTAACTACGGGGGTGGGGAAACCCACAGGCGCTCTCTGTGCTAAAGTCAGCCAGGAACCTGAGATGCAGGCAAAACCCAGGCACGCCAGGCACGGGAACAGGTGCACAATAAGCTTGTGGGAGGAGGCGGGATTCGAAGTGAGTAACCTCTAAGACAAGTCAAAGGGACGCGCCTGGCAGAACAAGCAGTGGGGTCCCGCACACACGCCAAGGGCTGGGGAGACCAATCATGACCGTGAGCCTTCTGGGCTGACAGTCATGTCTCCCTTAAACGGGAGGCCCCCCGTGACACCAACATGGTCCCCTCTGGCCCCAGATGTGCTCTGCCCAAGAGACGCAGAAGCAGCATGGTAGGCTGATGGGCATCCGCACCCAGGGGACCCCACTCCATGTCCCACTGATGGAGCAAGCGTGCCCCCGGCCTGATGGCCGCCTCCACGGCTGTGTTCAAACCTCAGCTCTGTCCGCAGCACACCGATGAGGAGGGCTGGCGTGGCGAGGTGAGAGACAGCCCCGGGGAGCACATGGTAAGGTCCTCCACCAGTTTGTGCCCTGTCCTCGGCGTGCTGCCCTCCCATCCTCCCCGGCTTTGTGGTGTCTGTTTGGAAATGACTTCACAGATTATGTGGTTCAACATCTCACTTTGGCCATCCTGCTCTGTGGCCTGGGGGCTAGCTGGCCCGGCATATCCTTGGAGGCCGCGGCTGTCTACGCTGGGCTCTTGCATCTCTACCAGTCACCCAGGGAGGCTGCGCTGCCAGCATGGGGATCCCATCCCAAGGAGCAGCACAGGCGTCAGCGCCAAGCGGTCAGTCTGGTCTCCCAAAGGAGCCGGAGGTGCTTACAGATATCACACCTGACACACGTGACTTAGACACAGCACCCAACAGCATAACTCAGATGCCACACCTGACACACGTCGTACAGACAGCGCACACAACACAGGACTTACAGACACGACACCCGACACATGTGACTAACAGATGCTGCACGCAGCAAATGTGACTAACACACAGTAAATAACACACAGCTCACAGATGCTGCACAAAGCACACGACACTCACAGACGCCACACACAGCACATGACTCACACAGACACTGCACATAGCACACAACGCCGCACATGGACACTCAGACGCTGCACACAGTGCACGACTCACAGACCCGCACACAGCACAGGACACACAGATGCCACACACACCACACAACTCAGGCGCCACACACAGCACACGACACACAGACACTCCACACAGCACACAACTCAGAGGACAAACACAGCACTCAACACTCACAGATGCCACACACAGCACACGAGTTATAGACAGTGCACGCTACACACATGTAACTGGCTGCTGGAGGAGGGAGCCAATCAGCCATCCCAGGTTTGTGCTGACCCCGGCAACGGCTGTGGCCGCGGGAAGGGCTGCCTGTCTGGGTGGGATCAGAGCCCCGCAGCCTCTCTGTGAGCTCCCGCTGGGGCAGAGCACAGCCACCATCTGGAGGGAGCCCGGGGCCAGCTCTCTGCCCTCATCTGGCCCCTACTCCTGGTGCCGGCCCAGTGAACGGCCTCAGCCTGTAATTTGATTTCCTTTTTTTTGAGACAGGGTCTCTCTCTGTCACCCAGGCTAGGGTGCAGTGGCATGATCAAGGCTTACGGCAGCCTCTGCCTCCTGTGTTTGAGCAATCCTCTACCTCAGCCTCCCAAGTAGCTGGGCCCACAAGTCTGTGAGCCACCATGACCAGCTAATTTTTGTATTTTTTGTAGAGGTGGGGTTTCACCAGGTTGCCCAGGCTGCTCTTGAACTCTTGAGCTCAAGGGATCCTCCCACCTCGGCCTCCCAAAGTGTGGAAGTTACAGGTGTGAACCACTGTTTCCAGCCCTGCCTGTAATTTGAGCTTATGTTTTTCTCCTTCTAAGAAGAGAGCTAAG